GGTGCTGTCACTATCTTTAGATAGCGTGAGGGGAACGCTCAAAAGGATCAATGCTAGGGAAGCCTCAGGTCCTGAGGATATTCCTGGTCGTGTCCCGAGAGACTGTGCTGAAGAGCTCACAGATGTCTTCACAGACATCTTAAACATCTTGCTGAGACAAGCTGTTGTCCTGATGTGCCTCAAAGCCATCACCATCATTCCGGTCCCGAAGAAGCGTCCCCCTCCTGTGACAATGACTACCACCTGGTCGCACTCACGCCCATTATCAGGAAGTGCTTTGAGCGGCTAGTCATGCACCACATCAAGTCTGCCCTCCCCCCACTGGACCCCTACCAGTTTTCAGATCTGTCCAATTGCTCGACCGACAATGCCATCTCCACTGCCCTCCACTCAACCCTCACCCATCTGGAGACCAGGGACTGACATGTCAGAATGCTGTTCATTGACTTCAGCTAAGGATTCAGCACAATCATCCCCCAGCAGCTCATCCTCAAACTGGTCCAGCTAAGACTCAACACCTCCCTGTGCAACTGGCTGCTGGACTTTCTGACGGGGAGACCACAGGCAGTCCGGCACTATTGCGCTGAACACAGGGGCCCCTCAAGGATGTGTGCTGAGCTCTCTGTCCTGGAACACCAACACCACATCTCTGGCCAAAAACGCCCAACAGCTACTCTACTTTCTGTGGAAACCGAGAAGAGCAAGAGCCCCATTCCCCATAATGTACTCATTCTACAGGGGCACTATAGAGAGCATTCTGACCAGCAGCATCACTGTGTGGTACAGAGCCTGCACTGTATCCCGCCGCAAGACCCTGCAGCGAATGGTGAAAGCAGCTGGGAAGGTCATAGGTGTCCCTCTCCCCTCTCTGTCGGACATCTATCACACCTGCCTCACCTGCAAAGCCCACCCACCCAGCCCACAGTCTCTTCAGCGTGCTGCTGTCAGGGAGGAGACTGCAGAATCTCCGAGCCTAAACCAGCAGGCTCAGAGACAGTTTGTTCCACCAGGCAATGAGGATGCTCAACTCCCTCCCTGCATTATTTGCACTACTGCATCCATATTGTCACATTGCACTATTGTGTCCACATCAGGACTGCCATACTGTTTACATTACTTTCTCCCACTCACCAGCTTCCTTATATTTATACTGTTTACTGTTGTTTATATTGTTATCTTATTTTTTTTAAATTGAGAGTATTTAAGGTGGTCTTTTGTCTAGCTTAGTTGTTTATTTTTATATTAATACTTTTATAGTTTTATTCTTAAAGTTTATTCTTATGCACCGTGAGTCTGAGAGGACTGAAATTTCATTTGTGCGGTATATTTAACATGTATAGCATATTTGACAATAAAGTTGACTTTGACTTGACTTTGACTTCATCAGTGCATTTACAGCAGCAGTGCTTAAAAAAAAACAAAGAAGTTAACAGTAAAAGGATCTTTTATTTCAACATTCACATATTTCATATTGAATGTTTTTATATATATAAATAGTCCTCAAGTCTGTTGAAGTGAAGATATCAAGTGTCCTCTTCTTTCTTGTCCTTGTCTTCCTCTCTACTCCCTTTCTCACCGCTCCTCACCCTCTCCTCTTCTTGCTCTTTTTGAGACAGCTCCTCGGGTTATAAAAACCTCCATGATATATGATGTTGTCTCACCAAAACACTAAAAAGTCCCTTAGAGATTTAAATGCGCACACACACACACACACACACACACACACACACACACACACACACACACACACACACACACACACACACACACACACACTGGAACACTGGAATAATGTCCACATAGACAGTTTTTGTGTTTGTTCGATCTTCTCTTCCACTAGAGTCCCAGGAGGGCGTGCTGGCATTTCAAATTGGACAACACACACAGACACACACAGAAACACAAAGGAACACACACAAATACAGATGTGATCACATGGTGTTATGAACACGATCTGAAGCGCACACGGGCAATGTTCTCCATAACTAGCTGAAATATGTGAGTTTAACACTGAAGCTGTTGTCCTTTAATGCTGCTTTATGTGCCAAATTATCTCGTTTTAAGGTGTATGGTCTGCCCTAGAAGTCAGCCCAGTTTCCAGGTGAACTGGATCATTTAGAGAAACACTCTTAAATCAGTCAAAATGAGGGGAGGATTCTGAGTGTAGGGGTTTCCGAATTTCATCTCTGCTCTTTGAAGATAATGTGGTTCTGTTTGCCTCTTTAGGTTGGGACCTCCAACAGGCATTGGTCTTCAGGAGTTGTAGCTCATATTTCTCTGCCTGCAGATGTTGTATTGCACCCTCCCAATGAGGAAGGAATCCTCACTCCATCTGAAGGAATTTGATTATCTCAAGGTCTTGTTCACAAGTGGAGCTAAAATGGACGGTGAGATGGACAAAGATGTTTGTGCAGTATCAGCAGCACTTTCGGCGTTCATTTGGACCATTGAGGTGAAAAAGGAATCAAGCCTAAAGGCACAGCTCCTTATTTACAGACCGACTTATGGTCCAGCCCTCACTGCAGTTCATGAGCTGTTAATTGTGCCCTAAAGATCAAAGTAGCAGATTAGAGTTTCTGCCAAGGAGCAGTAGGCCTGATCCTTAGAGGCAGGGTCCCCATCAAAAACAGCCAGCTTTGGTGGTTCAGGCTTCTGGAGGCCTCTTGAATGTTCCTCTTTGGAGGTCTTCCATGCCCATCTAACCAGAAGAAAACTCCAGGTCAGTCATAAAATGAGGGTTTCAGCTGCAGAGTAGGAGAGGGAGGGGTGGAGGCGGGCAATGTTTTTGAGGTGGTAGTAGGTCGTAGAGATTGTGTTGACGGAGCATGTGGCCAAGAGGGAGGAGGTAGATGATGAAGAGGAGAGGACCAAGCACCGAACCCTGGGGGACACCTTGGGACATGGGGGCAGTTGTGGAGGAGCAGTTATTGATTTGGATGAAGTGATTCCGGTCTGTGAGATATGAGTGGATCCAGTTGAGAGCAGTGTCTGTGATATTGAAGAGGGAGTGTAAGCGGGACAGGAGGATGGCGTGGTCAATGTGTCAAAAGCGGCGGAGAGGTCAAGGAGGATGAGAATGGAGAGTTGGCCAGAGTCAGCAGAAATGAGGAGGTTGTTTGTGACTTTGATGAGGGCAGTTTCGGTGCTGTGGTGGGTGCGGAATCCTGATTGAAACAGTTCGTAAAGATTGTTATTGTTGAGGTGGGCTTTGATTTGTGATGCAATGACACGTTCAAGGATTTTCGACAGGAAAGGGAGGTTGGAGATGGGCCGGAAGTTGTTGATGTCGTCAGGGTTGAGTTCAGGTTTTTTGAGGATGGGGGTGACAGCGGCCAGTTTGAGTGAAGGGGGAACAGTGGCGGAGTTGAGGGAGGAGTTGATGATCTGTGTGATGATGGGAGAGATGACGGGGAGGCAGTGTTTGATGAGGGAGGATGGGATTGGATCCAGGATGCAGGTGGATGATGACATGGAGCAGATGATGTTGGTCATGTCGGTTGGAGAAACAGGTGAAAAGTGGGAGAGTGCTGATGGGATGAGGGGAGGAGGGGAGGAGCTGGGAATGGAGGGTGGGGGAAGGGAGTTGTAGATTGTGTTGAAAAGAGGAGAGGAATGAGTTGCACTTTTCCGGGGTGAAGGTGATGGAGATGCTGTCTATGGGGTGGAGCAGTTTTTTGACTGTGGTGGAGCCGGAGTGGATGAGGTTGGAGCAATAGGAAGAACAGGCGGAGTTGAGGGCTGTTCTCTATAGGTGGAGATGGTCGGTGAAGGCTTGGAGATGGACGGTGAGGCCAGATATGGTGGTCAGATATGTAGAGGTTGATGGTGGAGAGATGGTGGATGGAGATGCTGTTGGCGCAGACGAGGTCGAGGGTGTGGGTGGGGGAGTGTACATGCTGGGTGAGGTCGAGGGTGTCGAGTAGATCCAGGAAATCGGAGGCTTGTTTGCAGCTGGGGTTGTTGATGTGGAAATTGAAGTCTCCAAGCAGCAGGACAGAGGATGAGATGGTACTTAGATGGGTGACCAATTCAGAGAAATCAGAGAGGAATGATGGGTGGGGCTTTGGAGGGCGGTAGATGGTGACAATGACCAGAGGGGTGGGGCCGGGGAGTTTGACGGAAATATTTTCAAATGAGTGGACAGAAGGGGTGGGGATGGGGGTGGTCTTGAGGGTCTGTTTGTGAATGAATGCGACACCACCGTCCAGTGAGGTGGGGTTGGTGCAGGTAGGAGTAACCAGGGGGCGTGGCTTGGTTGAGTGGGAAGAGATCGAGATGGTTGTGCCAGGTTTCAGTTAGGCAGAGGAAGTCCAGGTTATTGTCTGTTAAGAAGTCAGCCAGGATGTGTCCTTTGTTGTTGAGGGAGCGGGTGTTTTGAAGGGCCATATTCAGGGGAGGGGGCTGTGGGGTGGGCAGTGAGGCAGGGGGAAGGCAGTGAAGGTTTATTTGATTTCTTGTCCTTTGTTTTGAATGCATGGGATTTGAGCGGGAGGATCCAGTAGTTGTAATTGTTTGAATGAAGAAGCTGTGGTGAGATCTTGGTGAGATGGCAGAATGGCAAAGAGACTCTGTGATTGGAGGGTGCAGTAACTGTTCGGGTTGGGAGGGGGAGCTTGCTGTAGTGGTGGCGATTGGATTGGTGTGCAGTACCAGTTGGGGCCTGTTGGGGGAGCCTGTGGTGGGGGTGGTGAGGGTGAGGGTATCGGAGGGGGGGCTTGGGGGGGCGCTGTTTCCTGGTGGGGTAGTGGTAGACGAGGAAGAAGAAGATGACAGGGAGGGTGTAAACAATGCTAGTCAGTTGGTGTGTATGTGGTGTTGGATATTAGCGGCAAGTGTATAATGGCCCAGTTTGTTTGGGTGAAGTCCGTCATGGGAGAAAAATGGGGATCGGTTCCAGAACAGATTAAAATTGTCAATGAAGTGAGTGGAGGAGGTACTGCAGAGTGATCAAAGCCAGGAGTTCAGGCTGAGGAGGCGGCTAAAACGATCAATGCTACGTGTTAGCGTTGGTAGCAGATCCTCTTAAAAAAAAAAGATTTGCCGGTGCACTGAGGGATGTGGAGAAGTGATTTGAAGTCCCTTTTGGTCAGTTCAGACTGTTTGTGAGCCGTGTCGTTGGTGCCGACGTGAACAATGATACGATGGATAGAGGGAGGAAGTGACTGGAGAAAACCAGGGAGTTTTGTCGTGATGTCGGCGACAGTTGCACCAGGGAAAGAACGAGTGATGGCATTGAAAAAACGGATACCTCGTGCGATGCTGTCACCGACGATTAAGGTGGTGGGTGGAAACAGCGTCAGGGGTTGCATGGCTCATGTACCCTGTGGCAGCAGGGATGGTCTGCCAATTCAGTCCGGGGCGGTGGTGGTGGGCCCGGCAGAGTTCCGTCGGACTGCCTCTAGGAGAAACCTCTTGCGGGCAGCTGAGGATGCGGTCCGGCTCTCAGAGCGGTGGCCACACGGGAATCCCTCTGCACGCTGGCAGGGAGGTGTCCTTTGCACCAGCGCCCGGTGATGCCCGGGAGCTGTTTGCCAGAAGAGTGGAGGCAAACCGATCGTCAGGCTGGCACGCCGCGGAGGCACTGGAGGACGAGGACAAAGGTCCAGGGGCTCCGCCGGGTGGCCGTGTAAGAGCCATGGGAGCTCCGACAGCCGCTGTGGAGGACCCCACCACGTCACCGCCGAGAGAGGACTGGTTCGGGCTTGTGTTGTCAGGCTTAGGAGGATGCTCGAGGGCCTCGAAGTGGTTAGAGAGGGCCAACCAGACTGTAGAGGCATCGCTGGAGGGATTAGTCCTGCTACCGGCGAGGACCTTGAACCGGAGCAGTGGATTGCTCGGCGTGGAGCTTGAGGTAGGCCCGGCCGGGTTCCAGGGGATGGTGTTGTTGGTTTTCCTACCTCGAGTGATCACTTCAGTCCAGGTTGAGTCCTGGTTGGGTGCTGTGGTGGATGGCGGTTGGGACGAGGTCCTCGGGCTGTGAGGCTCCCATAGTAGCGTGTCCTGGAGGGTTGCTTGGAGGGAGAACAGGTGGAGGGATTGCTGGTGGGCCACATCCATACAAGTTGTGAGTAGTGTAGATTTTGATTTAAGCTTCTCGGACAGTTTTTGAATACGGAGTTTGAGTGTGGTCATTGTTTTGTTTGCTTCGTGAACGGCTTCGGTCTTCTCTAGGAGTAGGGACTCGCTCATGCTCGCTCTCTTGCTCATGCTCGCTCTTTCTAATCTTTTTTCAGGTTTCTCACCATTTTGAAACTTTATTAGTTATTATGGTTTAATATTCAGGATTCATTCTTTTAACTGGGTCATGGGCTTTTTCCTTACCTGGCACTTGAACTCCTCAGAATCCTCAAGAAGGTCTGTAAAGTGTAGCCAAGGTGAGGAATATCACCTTCATTAGCTTGATGCTACTTGAATGTCCCTAAGTGAAAAAAGAAAAAAGAAAAAGAAGCAAAATCTTTGGTTTTAATTTGTTCAATATAGAAGATCTTGTGAAGTTAGTTGTTTAACTTGTGTTACTGTAACTTAGACCTGACAGCGTGGAGGGTCATAGTCTTGGAGCTTCCAAACTATCTTGTCACTGTTGCAGCATTGAGCAATGTCTTACAGATGGCTGTTTTCCCAGGCCATGTTTCTTTTTTTTCACTGCTCTTTGCTGACAGGTGTTCAAGAAGAAAATGTTTTTCTATGTATTCTTAATTGAAGCTCAGTAGCAACTGTTTAGTAACATGTATTCAGTGGTGTATTGAAAATGTCCAAATTTGGGAGTGAAGAACCTTGACTTGAGTAAACTCAATAAAAGACAGAAAATGGATGAACCATGGTTTTAAGTGTAAAGAAAGAAAGATATTATTAAAAAAAAAAAAAAAAAAAACTCTCTCTAGGCTCATACATCACTGATGTGAAAAAATAAATAAATAAACAGAAGTATGTATTTGAAGGATGCAGTGTGGACACAGGTATTGATGTCTTTTCAATATAACCTCATGCTATGCAACACAATGTGATGCTTTGCTGTACTTCAAGCTTGCGTGCTTTTAGGGTTAAGTGTAAACTTGCCACGTGTCTTTTGGGAGCAGGCTCAGTGCAGTATAGTGGACCTTATTTTAATACAGAGAAACTGAAAGCCTACCCCTCAACTTACAAGCAGTGTTTCCAACCATGTCTATAGCTTTGAAATGTAAATGCTTAACTGAAACATTTTCATTGATGTTTGTGCATGGAAGCTCGGTCAATGTAGAAATCAAATCCAGTACAAAGTCTAAAAATCCTTGAGGAAGACAATGTGGAAATGAATGCCATGTCTTTGTCCTTTATCATGCAGATTTGTACTGTTTACCTGTCCCAGAGAAAAACTCCATCCTACTCGCTCTATCTGCCATCACCAAAGATTCACCAGCTTTTAGGAGTCTCTGCTCATTTACTGCAACATCACCGTAGGCTGACAGTAATCTGTAATCTCTCTGTCCTCAGGTAAACAAAGAACTAGCCACTGATATAATACAAGTAGCTTGTACTTACACCCACGTGCATTCCTCTTTCATCCATTTCTCCCAATGGGATATCCATAATGGAGTCAGAGTCATCAAACATGGCTGCAGAGCGCTGAAAGCTGTGTAACGACAGTTGCAGAAAATCTAAATTACCATCATTGCCTTGATTTCATGTAGATGACTCTGCTCTAAGTATTGGACATAAATGAGTATTAGGGGGTACATAAGCATTATGCTGCTCACGGAGCCTGTCCCACACTGCCTAAACATCAGAATTCATAACTTCATCTTCTCAGCGTCAGACCGTCACAGCAGTACAGCTTGTGATGAGTTTGTTCATCTGCTGGAGCTTCTTATCGTCTTATCATATCTGCCTGCTGACACTGTTTCTGCTTGTCTCACAGAAATATAAACACAGTAATCACTCCAAGTTCCTCTCTTTGACTTTACTGTAATAGTCTCCTGCACAAAACTGATCCTAAGAAAGTGGTGATGCTGTGCCAAATGTTGATTTAAACAGAATTTGATGATTTGCGAATCATTTTAAGTCAATCATATTTTTATTTTAGTGCCAATAATACAAAGAAAACACTATGTTTAAAGTGAAACATTTTATGTCTCATGAAAGATACTTTTTTTGTTTTGATGGCAACAGTATTTTGAAAAAGGTGGACAAGGAACAACTGAACAGGTTAAAAGAAGGTGTGGATTTCATCATCTATAATCCATAATATCATTCAAAGATTCAGAGAATCTGGAGAAATCTCTGTACTAAAGGGACAAGGACCAAGACCAAGACTAGATGGTCCTGATACTCAACCCCTTAGGCTGGACTGCATTCAAGGGATATACTGGTGTAAAATTAAAGTCAAACACTGTAACACCAAGTAAAACACCCCCTCAAGAAATGAATGTTGCCGACAGCTTGCTTCTCTAGTTATACCAGGGGTCGGCAACCTTTAACACTCAAAGAGCTATTTGGACCAGTTTTCCACAGAAAAGAAAACACAGGGAGCCACAAAACCCCTTTGGCATCTAAAATGAAGATAACATTTGCATATATCGTTTTTTTTTTTTTTACCTTTAGAAAAAACTAGTAGTGAGTTGCATTTATGAAATAAATGAGCTGCTGCAGAGAAAAAGAAATATTATTTCTGCAGGCAAACAAAAATATTTTGAACAGTTTGAAATAACCTTAAAGACCCACTGTTATTCTTGCTGTCTACATGCTTATACATCATTTTCCAGAAGCTACAGGACATACAAGTAATACAAGAACAAAATTGTATTTCGGAGGATTTCTGCTTTCAAACCACTGGCAGACCCAAACGGTAGTCTCAGACGCAGGGAGATTTCCTACTTTACAACTGCAAGCTCCGCCCTCTGAGCCCTGCTATGCAGGCCACACTCAGAGGAGTTGAGAGGAAGACCGCACAACAAGTGTGTGCGTTAAATAAAAGACACAATTTCACTGAACAATGTAAGATACTATATATTTGCAAAATAATGTGAAATTTACTTGCTCAATGTGACTTTCGCTCCTAAACCTAAGCGCACAGCGTCTCCACATCTAGGCTGTGTGACATCACATTCATTTTCACACAGGTTTTCAGTTTTCCCTAGTCCGCAGTTATGATGCATATTTTGAGCGATAAAAAAAAATGAACATGGTTTATTTAATGTTACAAGAGCATTATAATCTTTGAATTTAGAATTACACAAAAAAACTAAACTAAAATAAATTCAAATGATATATTTATTATTTATTTTCCAAATCCACAGGTAGCCGCAGCCTAGGGAAGAAAGAGCCATTTGCGGCTCCAGAGCCTCGGGTTGCCGACCCCTGAGTTATACCAACTTTAGTAATGACGCATGATAGCAATACACAGTGGTCTATGTCTCCACGCACACACCTCAACCAAAAAGCCATTTGTGGCCACAAATAATGCTCAGAACAGCACCTAACTTCATCAACAGTACACATAAGGTCCCAGCCATAGTACTAGCCATCAAACATATTTTTACCTTTGCCTGATTTCTTTAGAAAAGAAAACAAGCACAACTCACCCACTCTCTTCTAGCAGTGGCTTGTTTGTGGGGGAGCCCTGATGAGTCAATCACGGAGTGCAGCGGATCAGTTCCTTGAAGTAATCATCATATTAATCATTTTGCACTGCAGATGTGGTAGTTCTTCTGCCTTAGCATCTCGGTCTGATTGCATTTCACATGAAGTAGTGATCATAAATGTTCATGGCTTTGAGGGTGGACACAGGAGCCATCATAGCTGCGGTTGTAGCTGCACCTACATGAAAGGAATGAGCCGCGTAGCGATCTGGAGGATGTGTGGAGGGCGATCAGCTGAGCTGTCATCTGACTGAGGGCTGGCTTAAGATCAGCTGACTCTAACCTTTAGCTTGACTGTAACCTTTGTGTCCTGCCTGAACTACGGCTATGCTTAAGTTCAGTCAGGACTACTTTAGTTAGAATTAATTATTCATTACTAGCAAACATTTTTTAACATTGGCGGTATGGCTCTGTTCTGAGAGTTCCCTGCTCTTTCATGTGCTTGTATGGAATCCCAAGGCTATGAGAGGGGATGCCCTTCCCCTCCCTTACATGTGCATATACAAAAAGCCAAGGCAGAAAAAGCAGCAGCAAATAAATAAAATTAAGGTAAATTAGGCTCCTCAAAACAACCATACCAGCAGCAGCGAGAAAACTATGAAGCAACCTACCCACCTCCAAAGCTTGCATAGTATTGGTTACCCTCACAACATGATCATGGATCAGGATTCATTTAATCCATACATTTATAATTG